CACGCTGGCCGGAACAACCAGCAGCCAGGCAGGGTTGCGCGTTCCGAAGTTCTTTTTGAAGAACACGCCTCGCCGCAGAACAAAGCTTGACAAGTCTCGGGCCAAGACTCGCGGAACTGAACTTCCTTGACCTTCAAGATGGTCGACCACGACGCGAAGTTCCGGGTCGTTTCGTTGAAGTGCTCCCATGTCGGTATCTGTAACTGCGCCGAGAAAACGGGCGTCATCGTCGTCGTCAGTGCTTTCGGGAGGAGATTCGACTAGGGCCCTAGACAAACAGTCGGCGTCGTTGTGCTTGCGGCCAGACTTATGGACAATGGTTACGTCGAATTCTCGCAGTCGAAGTCTCCAGCGCGCGAGGCGTCCTGATGGGTCCTTGAGGTTGGCGAGCCAACAGAAAGCGTGGTGGTTCGTGACAACGCGGAACGGGATCCCATACGGGTACGGGCGGAACTTGGTTAATGTCCAGACGACAGCGAGACATTCCTTGTCGGTCGTTCAGTAATTTTTCTCTGCCTTGGACAGTGCCCGGCTTGCGTAAGCGATCACCCTCTCTGCTCCGTCTTGTCTTTGGACGAGTACCGCGCCGAGCCCGGCGTTGCTGGCGTCCGTGTGCACTTCCGTTTCCGCTGATGGATCAAAGCGTGGGAGGATAGGGTGCGACTGGAGTCTTTCTTTCAGTTCGTTGAACGCTTGTTCTTGCTCCTCCCCCCCACTGGAAGCTCACGTCGTCCTTCGTCAGATTCGTGAGCGGTGGAGAAATCTTGGCGAAATCGCGAACGAAACGTCTGTAGCAGACGCAAAGTCCAAAAAATCTTCTTACGGCTTTCTTGTCTGATGACTTCGGAAATGCGGCAACAGCAGATGTCTTTGCAGGATCAGGGCTTACACCTTGAGCACTCACGACATGGCCCAGGAATTTGAGCTCGCCGTAAGCAAACTGACTTTTTGACGGCATTAGTGTCAGTCCAGCATTCTGGATAGCCTGTAGCACGGCTCGCAAACGTCTCAGGTGCTCGTCGAATTCGCTCGCGAATACCACGACGTCGTCGAGATAGACGAGGCAGCTTTGCCATTTCAAGCCGGAAAGAACGGTGTCCATTACGCGCTGGAACGTCGCCCGTGCTGTGCACAGTCCGAACGGCATCACTTTAAATTCGTACAGTCCGTCCGGCGTGACGAAGGCAGTCTTCTCACGATCCCATTCGTCGGCCTCGATCTGGCAGAACCCACTCTTCAGGTCCAAAGACGAAAAGTGTCGGGCATGGCGCAGCCGGTCCAGAGTGTCATATATGCGTGGCAGCGGGTAGACGTCCTTTTTCGTTACGGCGTTTAGGCGACGATAGTCCACGCAGAATCCGGCAATGAACCAAAAACGACTGTTCTTCCCTGTCAGCAATGTTCACTTACCTTCCGTCTTGGCTAAGTAACAGCACTTCTGCTGAGGTATCCTTTGGCTAGGGCCCAGCAGTTACTAAAAGTAGGCTAACTCATTGCGTTTTTGAAAGAAAAAAGAAAACGCAAATCGTACCAAAAGTAGGGATGGGTTATCTTTCGGGGGTGGAGCATCGCTCGGAATGCTTTCGGGACTGGCGTAACTGCGGAGCATATAGAGTTACTCTGGCTCACACGGACAGGCAACGTCACCCTGATGGTGCCCCCGCCTTAAAGGGGTACTGCGACGAAAGCATAGCGTCAATTTTACAGTCTAAATGTCAACCACGTTCTGGCCACAACACGGGCATCAATGTTTTTCTCTAAAAGAGACTTGCATATTAATTAAAACGAATAAACCGAATGTCGTTCCGTCATACTATACACTTAGAAGCAGCGCCGCTCCGCGCAAGTAGGGCGGCAAGCTACGTCGCGCGAGCACTGTCCTAACTTGTCCCGAAACGGGTTTTCCTTCGTTCTAGCGCCTTTTCAACTCCTGCGGGGCGCGGGAATCGTGAACGGCCAGGTTGTAACGGTTTGGCACTACCAAGTGGCGAAGCTCACAACCGCGCCAGCATCCCTGTAGCTTCGCCCGTCAAGGAAAACCTTACGTCACGAATGCGCTGGCCGGCGCCGGATCTCCCGAGACGCATCGCGCTCTCCGACTCATTAAAAAAAGTGAAACGAATTCGAATTTAAAGTGTAAAGGATTCACTAAATACACCGCGTAGAGTCTCAATTCAAGCTCAATAGGTTGTTTCTTTTGGGTTCCTATTCAACCGTCACAAGATATTGGCCACCGAGTTTTAATTAAATTGTTAGCAATTGCATTTCAATTGATTTTGTGGCAACAATGCTTAATATAAGTTTTTATGTTGAGTTTCAAACGTTTTGCGATTGAGTTTCAATAACATTTTTGCAGCTCTTTTTCAAGAAACATTTCCGCAACTGCGATAAAAACACCTGCAACGTGTGGGGAATTTTTAGCTTATAATTATTTAAAGTACGGAACATGAAAGAAACGGAGAACTGGAATGGAAAGAACGAACGAAAACAACACACGCATCACAATTCCTTTGACTAGTCCGCCGCCTTATATACCCTACATCTGAAAGGTATAAATTTAGCCGGTGACCACCTCAGCATTTCTTAAGGTTCCCAGTATGATATCCCCTCCTCGGGAGTCTGATGAATGATTATAAAATAATAATAATAATAAAAAAAACATTGGTACAAACAATAATCGTTAGGTCAGTCGCTAAATCCACAAAAACGATTACTAGCCGGACTGTTATCGTTTCTCTGCATCGCACCACTTAGGACATGACAATGCACGGTAGTTGCTCTGCTTTAAATATTTTTTTTTCCTTTACGAAGTAAGTAAAATAGGCTGAATGATGTCACTATTGGTGGCCAGATGTTTTGTTAGCGCCCTCCTATGGTTACCCTTCGTGACGTCATTGCCTTGTGAACAACGAGTTTGAAGCTGTTTGTAAAGAGCAGGGTGGAAGCTTAAAATCATAGCACCCTCAAACCAACACTGCAAACCCCGTCAAAATTGAAGTTCTTCCATTCCTCTTATTTCCGCTGATGGGAAATCCTTTGCTGACGTCATAGTTAACATTCGGCCTATCGTGGAAGATCGATTACAGCGACGCTTTCGATCGCTCACGTCACCAATAGTCGCCGACAGAGTGAAAACGGCATAGCGTCCCCTTCAAGCACCCGGTCTTCAGCACGCGCTCCATGCCTTCCACCGTGTTTTCACAGCGCGCACGCGCTTGACGTGCACGAGACGTGGCAGCATTTTCGAGGGGGAGATTCAAGCTTGAGGGGAGGCAAGTGAAGCTCCTCCCTGTTGTTCTCACCTTGTCATGGACGTTAGAGTTATTATAATGCAAGCTATATGCTTTCGAAGGTGTCAAAATATTTCTATTTTCTTTGTTGTAGAAATAAATTTAAGCACATATGTTTATTCTGAGAGATATTAGTCTACTCCTGGTTGCACTTGCTGGGTTCATTAACAGCAAAGGGCGCAAACCAGCTGATGCCAGCAACTCAATCACTAAAAGTCGTTTGAATCTATAATGAGGAGGCAAAGAAATGCCTGTCAAGTAATAAAACCCAAGTGCATGCCCAGTGACTAAGCTAAAAGGAATGAGTGACAAAACTCAATTAATATTTCTGATGAGTGAACTTATAATAACCAATATTGAGCTCTTAATAATGAAAGTCATTTGCAAATGTAATATATAAATTCAAAATAATCGATATTGAGTTCTTGATGATAAAACTCGTTTGCATATGTAATCAGTGAATTAAAAAAAATAGAATTTAATTTGCTCATAATGAGCAAACTAAATCTTAGTCTTAATAAGTAAATTAAAATAATGAATCTTGAGTTATAAATGAGCAAAATCAATTGTATTCTTAATTAGTAAATTCAATCCTATATATTGAGTTCATAATGAGCAACCTTGATTGCATACCTAATTATTAAACTCAAAATGATATATATTGCCTTAATAAAAAAAAACTCAATTTCATTCTTAATGCGTGAATTCAAAAGAAAAGGTATTCAGTTCTCAACGACCAAACTCATTTGCACTCCTAATAAGTAAATTAAATATACTCGGTCTTGAGTTTTTTATGGCCAAACTCAATTCCATTCCTAATGAGTAAATTTAATAGAATCGATATTGAGTTTCTTGTGGTGATGCTCATTAGATTGAGTTTATATTGAGTTTCAATCGACTCTATAGAAATATATTAGAAACTCAATTGAAACAACTCAATCATTTTGTAAGGGATCGCTGCACTTCAAGCGCTCTCTGGAATCTGCAGTTTGAAACGGAAAATATAGACATCCTTTTAAGATACCAGCGTGCGATTGTCACTTGCAGACTTCGTTGATCATGTTTAACTTATTTCTGAAGGTGGAAGTATATTTAAATTTTCATTTCAGTGTTCTTTTAATTTAAACGACCAGAAGCGCACCTATGAGATAGGTACCTTTACGGTCGGAAAAACGTTTAGTGAACTGTTTTCTTATTTCTTGTAATATTATATTCAACTGAGGACAGATTAAACCTTGTTTATATTCTTAAAATAATTTTTATGATATTGTGTAAAAGGTGTGCATGTTTGCTGCTATGTAGATATATGTATTTTGTTTACTTTCTTCACGTATATATGGCAACTAATGCAAGTTGTCCTGTTATGAACTGTGGGGAGTAGAGGCCCAGTCAGGCAGAAATGCCTCTCTTGTCTCTATCCCCCTACCGAGCCCCGTGATAAACAAAAAAAAAAAAAAACTGCAAACTTCAAATGGCGGTACTTAAAAAATGTATAACATAACAAATGAAAGCTCTGCTCCAACAATGAGAAATCAGTCGTCATGCTGAGCGTCTCAGGGCTTATGCTATATTTAGCGTGAAACGCCATCAAACCTTGGGCGTCTGCGAAAACTCCTGACGGTGTTCGGCTTTCCGCATGTACCGCAGATGAGTCAGGAGTTGGGAACGTCTGATGTTCAAAACTAAGAGATGTCGTTTTATAAATCTTACTTTCCGTCAGAGTGGCCTTTGCCAAGACGACCACTGCTCCGGCGAAAATACATCCGTACATGGCGACGTAGTTATCGATGCTATTGTCCAAGTGTAAACAAACGTGATCGCCGGGTTGGATGCCGTGAGCTTGGAACCCCGCGGCGTAGCGCTGCATCTGAATCAGGCATTCGGCGCGTGTCAAAGCTCGTGAATCGTCCACCTGCAGGGGAAGGAATAAAAAACACTTTTATTCTATGGTATGTTCATATTTCTGTAGTAATTATGTGTGTAATACCTTGGCCTAGCTTGACACCCAGTAAATATCTTTAAAAGTAGACTCCGCGTTTTGTAGGCCCTCAAAATGTTAAGTTGTAAATTACAAAACGTCCAACGCTTCCTTCGTTTCCGTGCTACTTGACCGTAACCAACCCTTCCTTCCACTGGTTCACAAGAATGGTACTTGTAAACGAACGAAATCCGTGCCCGGCGGACAGACACTATATGAGCTAGCCGTGAGGAAACAGACCATGTGCCTACCGAGAAAAATGCCACCACCACCATCAAGAGATTGAGACATTCTTAGCAGCAGTGGGCTTGCTGCTGCAAGCTTCTAAGCCCTACATGTTTTCGTTTTTGACTGGCATGTTCATTGTTTGCCGTGACATCAACCCAGTGTTGTTTAACCTGGTTCCCCATGCAGTAAGGTGACACTACTGCGGCATATGTTGTTCAATCGACGATCAAGGCTGAGAACCAACATATAAAGGACAAGTAGAAGACTGGAGAGGACAAGCACTTCTAGATGTCCTACCTTCTATAAAATTGAAGTGTACGAATGTTTATACAGCCTAAAGCTTAGTTTGTCTCAACGGGCAATTTGTCTCCCAGTTGTAGATGAGACATTTAGCCAGTGCAGTACAACCGCTCACCTGGGGTCTTTAACGTGTATGACATAGTAGTGATATACGACCGCACGCCGGTACGATGCTAATCCAGATCAAAACGGGCAGGTGTGCAGATTAAACCCAGAATCCCTGGGCATGCCCTGGGTTCTGCAGCGCAAGCTTTCGCTGCACGTGTTCCGAGCTGGTGTGTGCTAGCACACTCGGCCAACGAGCCCCCCTTCCCTCTTCTACTTGTCCTTGTCCTTCGCACTAACTGTTTTTGAGATGTAGAACCAACTAGGCCATCAACTTATATTGATAAAAAAATAAAAAATAAGTGTCCAGCACGTTTCAACTCTACTGATATTTCTCATTTAGTTCGTCAAAGTTGCTAAAAAAAAAAGCATCATGTCTCGATTGGTCTATTTCAAAGTACAAGAGTGGCCAGATTTTTTTAGAGAGTTTGTTTCTGCTGATCATTAAAAGTTTCATGGCGTAACAGCAACGATGATTATACGGCACTAAGCTAGGTCTCGAGTGAGACAAATTCCTATATTCTGGCTTAAGAGGGAAGCAAGGAAGAGAGAGCAGAGAGACTCGGAGAGAGAGGGAAGACAGGGGCGTCGCTTACGGTGATATGAACATTTGTTATTGCTCACTGTTCAATAAAGAAGTTACGAACTGCGTTGTTACTTACCAACATAATTTTTTCTGGAGAAGTCTTCAGTTGGTCACTTGCGATTGCGTAGAAAGAACACTTCGGGATATCACAAGACGGGAAAGGTGAATACACAACGCCATCCTCAATTCGCGTCTTTATCGGTGAGCCTGCATTCGAAACAATTTCCATGTTCACGAAAACATAATGTCTACTTGTTCTAATAACTTACGGCATATCTGAGAAGCAATAAACAATGACTGAATATAACCCAAAAGTTTTAAAAGTATCAGAGGGACATGATTTATAGCGGTTGTTTAAAAAAAATGACAGCGAATAAAAGCAGGTGCGTACCGTTGACCGAAATTTGGTAAGGAAAAAAAAAAAGGCTACTCTGCACATTAACGTTTAAATACGTTTCTCCTGCCTGAGTGGGCATATACTGTGAACGGAGTTTCCCAGAGTGTCTATCAACATGTCGCTTTAGCGGTTTTACAGATTGAGACGTCAAACTACGCGAATGCGTCGGTGTGCTTTTCCCGACGAAATCATCTCCGCCATTATTTATTTTTTAATGTCGTGCTGCTGAAAGCACGGAGGCAGCGGGCTGACCACATGGATGGTTCCGATCTTTCAACCCTTTGCGTTGAAATAAAACGAGAAAGCGACAGCAAAGAGTGACCGGGACAGCCGTTCGCCTATTAACGCCGAGATGTTTTGGTGGCGCCCTCTTACGGTTTCTGTTCTTGACGTGACGACTAGATTTTTTCTCGCCGTGACGTCATAAGTTTTAATCGTCGACTGTTCATCATCAGTTCCAAACTATAAGTTTGATGGTGTTCATAAAAATAACAATGGAAGTTTGAGGTCATCGCATTCTTAAATCAACATCATCGTAGTTGGCACAAACACTGCGCCGATTTCCGTCGGCGAAAAAAAAATTAATCCAGATAAATACGTCAACGGGAGCGTTTGACCAGTCGTGAATTGCGACCAGAGCGACGCTTTCGATCGCGAACGTCGCTGATAGCACATGTCGGCGAGCGCAAGGAATATATGTCCAAAGAAATTACGAATCAAATTGTCTGCTTCATTATTCTTTTCCGTTCGTGATTGGTCGGTCACAAATGACGTGCCGACGCGTCTTTTTCTTTGTTTTGGTTACTACGCAGAATTAACACCTCTTAGATAAGAAAGCCTAAGTGCCGAATTCTCCAGCGTCACTAAAGCCCACCTTAGGCCACACATTGGACACAACTACCGTATCAGCATTTGGCTTGGAGCCGTGCTCTCACTGATTGGACACGACTCCTAGCCGAGCGCTAACCGCGTAGTCATGTCCAATCTTTGGCCTACGGAGGCCCTCTTTAATGACGTAGAAAAATTCAGCACTTCGGATTTCTTATCTAGGAGTTGTTGGTTAGAATACGAGGCAAGGTTGCTGCGGTAACTCTGTCTGTCAGTTGCTGAAAATTCAGATGAATCGTAGCTAAGAACAAAATGGTAAACCGAAATCGCTAGAAAGCACCTGATCAAAACACCTACAAAAATAATGAAAAAACAACTTGGTTTCGTATTAATTGATTTAGAACTTTGGTTTCAAAATAAAATAATGCTCCTTATCCCAGAGTTGATTAGGCGCCAGGTGCAACTCAGAGTTATAAACAAAAATATTGTTTATACAAAAAAACAACAACAAGAAGTGAAGGTATTTGGAATGCGCTGTGAACAATTTAAGAAGTGGAGAAGCATGTGGGCATGATGCGCCTACACTCGCGCAGCTTATTGGTGAACAATGTTGTAATATATTGAGTTGTACACTCATAACAAGACTGTGACCTTAGTAACTGTTAAGAAAGTTACAAAGAAGCAGATAAGTTGCGGGATTAGAACGTATAAATAAGAAATAAGAACTCGAAAACAACCCTCCTACATCGATATCTCAAACGGATCGCCGTACTTTTGGAAAAGAAGGCCACGATCAAGCGAGGGCCTATGACGTCATACTCCTCCTGAAAAATTTGAGAATGAAGGGAACCAGCCTCGCTTCTCCCCTCCTCGCCTCGAATCACCAGACCGATGGGACGAAGCGAGGAGGAGAGGGAATGAGAATCGTGACGTGATTTGTCTCGTCGGTCTCGTCGGCCGTGTTCATTCGCGCACGTTTTTCCGAAATTATGGCGATCCGTTAAATATATCGCTCTATGAGTGATGTTTTTCGGTATTGCAGCGTCCCGCCTATCAGTCCAGCCTTGTTTTGTGAGCTTGCCATTTCGGTTCACTATCCCTTTAAACAATGTGCGCCGTAATACGAGGACAAAAGAAGGACACAACAAGCGCTGTTGTGTCCTTTCTTCCTGTATTTTAGGCGATGATTGTTTACAGAATCATGTACTAACTATTCCATCTTTCTATTTTAATAAATATAAGACACGCACTCTGTTTATAGGGAGGCATATATTCGTGAACGGCACTCAATGGCAGAAACGCTTGCACAAAGAGCTGTTTTTATCAACATCTTTTTTGTGCGTTTTGGAGTATTAAAGTTCCTGCTAGGATCCGAACAAACTGTGAGGTACTGTATCAATATAATATAGCACTGCGAATAGTGACTGAACCCGTGGTCTTGCACAAATCTAGATGCCGCGACTAATATCGAAAAGGGCCAGACGCGAGAATCAGGTATCCACAATTTTATCCCATATTAGCCTAATTTCTCAAAACCATTGCCACCGAATTATAGCATTTATAGTCAGTTACAGGTTAAAAAAAAAGTTTTCAAGGGAATGGAGGAGAGGGGAGGAGGAAGCAGACGGAATGTTGGAGGAAAGAGGAGGAAACCTCTTCCTCTCTCCAGCATTTCGTTTGCTTCCTTCTCCCCAGCCAGAAAACTTTTCTTAACCTGTCACTGACTGTAGAGTTTATAAGCCCGCGTCTCATACACATCTCTTTGGGTATGCTAATCTTCACATACCTGGTTGTTGCATGTCCCCGATCAGCCGCACAGTTTTTGAGCCAACACAGCCAGGATGCGAACGTTCCCTATACAGCCTATTCCTCAGCCTTTGGAAGCGATGTTATTTCCTCTTCCTCCCCCGTTGAATTTGGTGTACGAGTTCCATACTCTGGTACGCCACAGGTGGAAATCGGGTTTGCGTTTTTTTCGTTTAGAAACGTAATTTTTTGCTAAAAAATAGGTCTCGGTTTGCAGCTGTGAGGTAATGTTATTCGGCGTGGCCCGAAACGACGTAATATATCGCTGTTTATTTATTATATTATTTTTATGGTGCGCAGAAGGACACGTGCGAAGCAGAACGCACTTCAGCGTTCGAGTGTGTCTGAAACACCACTTGCGAATTTAAGCATGATCCGGTTTTTGTTGTATTCCTTCTTTCAGCAAACGTCCTAACAAAAAAAAAAAAAAAAAAAAAGGCTCGCATTTCACAGGCGTCACACACAACCGTAGTCAGTGACAGGTTAGGAGTTCGGGGGAAACTCACCCCCCCCCCCCCCCCCCTCTTTCCGCTTGTGCAGAGCGAAAGCTGGAGAGGAGGTCGCCTCCTTTCCGGCGCTGTATCTTCTAAAGTGGGAAGAGGGAGGAGTTTCCCCTGAACTCTTATCATGTCACCGACTATAGTTAATGCTTATCTGTGAATTTTATTATAAAAAAAGAAAAAAAAGTCATATATTTGTCTGCTAATGGGGGGCAACCAAGTCCCGTTTAAGTTTTGTGTGGTTAGTCCACACTCCTCGTCGATCTCCGCATGCAGGCGATTTGCTAACCACCGACAATTTACCCCTGCTTCCCAGTTGGCAACGAAGTGCGCACAGGTGTTTTCTTGCGTTCACGATGAAAACAATTGGGCAGCAATACAAATTCAACAGCACTAGCTTAGCTTGTGCAGAAAACTAAGGAGCATTACACTTTTGTGGCGAAAAGGATACAGTCGTCAAACATTTGAAAAATTGGCAACCACCTTTACTTTCAAACTCCTGTAATTAATTAAATGTATTAAAAATAATTGTGAGCGAATTCGTAAGAGAATTGGAGTCAGATGACATCGAATTCTCCCACTAAGTTTAGCGGGAAAACTGAATTGATATCTAGGTCACAAGACATGAATCTATTCAGTTACCCACTAAATGTAGCGGGTAACTGAATTGGTGTATGGGCCACGAAACGACAAGTTCCCACTATAGATACAAAACGCAATCCTTTTTTTTTTAACATACTGCGGCCCTGTTGGGGTTATTGCAGGGTTGGAGACTATGAGACAATTGCGAGCATAGAGTTTAAAAGAGTAACACTACATCAAACAACATAAACATTAACACCTACCACTGTTATCGAAAAACATGAAATTTAGAAGGCGATAGTGATCAAATATTTCCAGGTAATGAGTTCTAAATTTAAATTCGAGCTGAGTTTCCCCGCTCAATTCAGCGGGGAATAGGAATTGACGTATAGATCCCGTGCCGTCAATTTCTCCAAGGTGTATAGGTCAGGTGACGTCGCGTGATGCCACTTTCCCAGCTAAATTTAGCGGAAAATGCACGGACGGACGGACAGACACAATTTTGGGACTGGGAGAGGCGTTAAAAAGCATTTTATGCTTTAATATCAAGCGTCATAGTACAGGCACCAATTATGAATGCGCGCTCTGCCTGCCATAGCATCAAACCAATCAGAACTTTAGTCAAGAATCACGGCGGAAAAGTAAACTATAAATTCTCACTTTGCCTACCATAGCAATTTAGTCAATCTCCATAGTACAAACATCAGATGCGGATATTTCCTCTGCCTGCGGTAGCAATTAAATCATGCGTCACATTGTGAGCATCAAAGATCAATGATCACTCTGCCTGACAGTAATCGAATCAAGCACCGTAGGTTCGGCATCAGGTATGAGCCCTCCTTTGCATGCAATATCGATTCAACGACGCGCCGCAGTACGATAATCACATGTGAGTTTTCACTCCGCTTACTACGGCGCTTCAATCATGCATCACCAGTGCGAACATCATATTCAAATCATGGATCTGCCTGCTGTACTCCAGATGAATCATCAGAGTGTGAGCATCAGATATGAACGGCAACCCTGCCTATACCAGACCAATTCTTTAATTCATAGACACAGAGCGTCGAACAAAAGGCACCGCAGGTGGCTGCCGGACTGATCAGCGTGGTTAGTGGCAAAATAAGGTAAAAAATCAGTCCCTGCCACCTGACGATTGGGCGCGTGGATTTCAGCATAGTTTGGCAGGACACGCAGATGATCGGTTTCAATAGATATGAATCTGGAACTTTTCAACGTTGCATGAAGTCACCACTTATTCAGACAAACTTCATTCTACAGCTGCTACAGTTTGTTGTAAGTGTTGAATTTTTATACTTGGGAAACTGTTATGCGTATGCAGTAGAGGGAGAATGAAAGGATCGTATGAAATTGCTCATACTATAGTACGTGTCCGCTCTTTTAGTTACTTTTGTTACAGGGTCACATAGAACTAAACACATCTGAATGTCAAAATTTAAGTTAGCTTGTGCATTCGTTCAGCCGAATATCAAATAACTCTTTTGCCGGCATACAAAAACCCCTTCCGCACTGCGCAATCATCTATGATTGTCGGTCTACCAAAGGCGGAAAAAAACAGAGCGCCCTCGTACACCCTGAATTTCGGGATGAGTGAAATAATTAAACAGTCATATTAAATTACAAATACAAAGCACTTAGACGAAAATGTATTTAGTTATAAGGCAATTGCACTTTTTGGAAAAGTTATGAAATACAAGATACAAATACCAAGGCAGGTGGGTCTTTCATAATCTAGAAATAGTTTTAGAAATATACCTTGCTTTCATAATTTGACAGTTTAGACATTAATTTCTCTCTGCATAAAAATACCGTGCCGAATTAAATATGGGAGTCAGTTTGTCCGAAGGAGAAAAAGCTTAAAATAAAAGTTGCAGCTTTAAAAATAAAAGACATTTCGCATATGAAACGGAAGTGCAACGTGAAAAACAATGTTTTCAGAGCGAGTTTACTTTCAAAGGTTTAATAAAAGCAACAAAGCATTTTTCAAACAGTCGTTAATGCGAATTCTTTCAAAAATAAACGCACCCAAGGGAAGAGTTCATAATTCTACCCACTCCAATAATTCATTGTTCTCCTCTTCTTTCCTTTGTTTCAACGTTTATTGCGTGCAAAGCGCAGCAATTTTTATGAGATTTATCGACACTCCCATAGCACAAAATCGCGTCTAATTGCGAGGAGCAACGGGTATTTGAAATAGAATTTATTGAAATATTGAATACTTTAGCTTCATATACAATCCACAAACATGTGTAATCGCTAATATGTAATTAAATACGAAATTCCAAATACTGAAATATAGTAATTAAGGAAATACTCCAACCAAGGCACTTTTTGAAAGCTCTGATTGGAGTATTTCGTTTTTATTACTCTAGTTCTACCCAGCCACACATATTCGTCTAAGATGTTAACGTTAAAAAAAGGAAAACAAGAAGCTAAAAGCTTTTTAGAGACGTATTCTAAATACTACTATTTGATATACTCCCCATTACTGTAACCAACAAAACCCGCTTCACACCGCATTGCACAAAGTGAATCATGAACGTGGCGGTAACGATTACAATGTATTGCGGCAGACACACAAGTGAAAAGCCTCGCAGGCAGCTTTTACTACACTCGAAACGCAGGGTCAAAACTCCAAAGTGACCCAGAGCCGCTGCGAGTTAACCACATTCTCGTCCCGTGCTTCAATGTTCAGACTCTTTAGTATTTCCACTGGCAAAGAGTGAACTGGTCAATGCACTCTCATGCTCACTAATTTTCCGAATATGATGGTATACTACTGTTGCAAACTCATCCTTTAATGTGAACCACACATTTTTGTTTATTCGGGAAAGTCCGAATAATGCGTCAAGCTAGCTGAAGCTCATAAGCTACGCAAAAACACCAAAAACGGATGTTTTTGATGTTTTTGTATTTGTGTATTTGTACGCGGGCCGTTTCCGGAGAAAATTGCTGGTTTAATTTCTGGCGTGTGTTGCAAACCTTTCATTTTTTCTTTTCGCTGAATTGCTTGATCGAGGTCTTTGTAGTGACACCAAGGGACACGAAGCGCACTCGTACGACCACCGCTAAGCTACTTTTCGACTTAATAAAATGAGTGCTCTGACGAAATATTTTGCACAGTTTTTCACTTGTCTCTGACCTTGAGAATGTCAGGTTGATACTGCTTCTTCCGATAACACAATGTAGCTCTTAAGAGCCCTTTTTTGCGTTTAGGAGTTAGATGAATGAAATGACAAAGTTCAGCCCTTCCTGGACTTTGAACGGGCCCAGTGTCTCCATTCCTAAGATCTGAAAGGAGTGGAATTGTCAGAAACTCCAAATTTTAGGAATGAAGCTGAAATAGAATGGGCGTACTCATTCCGCAACACTGAAGCCAAGCCTCTAATTAGCTTCTAATCAGCCTTCGAAAACTAATAGGAATGCTCCTGGGTTAATTTAAGTATAACATGAAAGTTGTTAAGCACAAAATGTATTTGAAAACGTATATGAAGATGCGGAAATACATTTTGTAGGCATTTGATTCAATACATTTCGGAAATCATTCTGCCCATACCTGTCTAACATTTATTGAGAAAAGTCATAGACGGATCCCACAATACCAGGTCAAGATACACTGAAGCGACCAATTCCAAAGCTCTCATATAGGCTGGCTGAAGAAAATTGGCTGCAGGGAGTTGTTCACTTGCTCGTTATAGAGGCAGCCGGGTACACTTAGCCCAAGTATCGAAAAGTGCTTTCCTCTGAACCTTTCCGTTCTCCGTTTTCGGAAGAGCTTCCAGGAAGAAGACGCCTCCGTAGAGATGCTTGTGCTCAGCACAGGTTCCTTCGGAGGGAGTAGAGAGCGCTCTTTAGAGAAAAAAAATGCGGACTGAAAAGGTACAAACACTCTTAAAAGTGGCCGTGAACTATTTTCCAGAGTAAGCGGCGAGCATACCTAATTGGAAACCCCTAAAGTGCAATTTTTACTGAAAATCTTAATATGGGGGAGGGGGGGGGGGGGGGGGGACGCTTCAGATTTTATATCACACCCGGAAAATTTTCATCTGTATACGTAGCTTGCATGTGACATTAGCCCGCTCTTCTTTCTGGTCCCCAGAAGCGCCTCGTTAACGCAGCGAAAGTTACGCTCTCATGCGCCTTTTCCCCCGATATGTTATTTGATCAAGATCAAGTGACGGCAGTGCAAGCTATGTATTCTCATCAAAATTTTTCTTCTCGTCAACTACCTCTACGGAAAGGATCAGGATCGCTCTGTTTGTGTTCTACTTCTACCAGCTTGCCCGCGTTTTACCATTGTACAAAGGTCTTGCGACATTAAGCGAGCTGTGCATTCATGTTCGGTAGAGATTAAATTAGAATCATAGCTAGCGTTACCAATACAAACAATTGTTCGGAGTTTTCTTTCCTTCCGGTAGGCAGTTCGATATTTGAAGGTACTGATCTTCAATATGCGAAGTCACAAAAGGGTTGCTGATAGACATAGAAAAGCTGAGGACGTAGGATGCGTGTCATGTTAAGATGTGATTATAATGTCCACCAAGGCTTTTAAACCCCCTAGTCGAAGAACTCTTTTCCTCTGAAATAAGTGATTGGTGCATCGTGAGAGAGAAAAGGGTACGCTTTCACTGTTCTTTGAGAATCAATTTGCGATATTAAAACGAAGATCCCAGAGACATCCATTTGGGTCAGTGCATCGAAAGGAATATGTGGCAGTTGTCTTAGTTGAACAATTATAAAAGACACAAACTCTCATTTATATTATAAGGAGTTAGTCAAAATACAAACCTCGCTCGCATCTGACAGATAAATACATGTGCTTTCACTAGTCATTTCGCGAGGGGGACCTTAAAATCACGAAAAAAATCGGGATGATATGCATTCAAAGAGCATCTTTCATTGAGAAAATGCCCTGTAATTTAAAGTAGAACACCGCTGAACTGGGTAATGAATTTGAGATACCTGCAATGATATCCTTGATTTCTCTTTCCATTGCTCCACCAACGTTCTCGATCTCCTTCTTGGGCACGACGATGGCGGCCGGTGCTTCTCCGTAGACCGGGTGTGGCACACCCAGCACAGCCACCTCGGCGATACCGCCGTGTTTGGCGAGCAGCACTTCGAGTTCTGTAGGCACTACTTGTTGGTCCATGCACTTGATCATTTCTTTGATTCGTTCCACGAAGTGAACTCGGCCATCTGTATTGTAGTAGGCAAAATCGCCTGGAAGAATGCAGAGATCAGCTCTAGTCACCGACATAATGAGAAAGGCAGGGAGGAGTTCCGCTTGTCCCGGTTTCAGCGCAAGCTTGCTACCAGAGCCTCTCAATGCGCTACGCTTAGAGTATCGGAACTCTGTGTATTGATATTTTTGAGGGCGCCGCCACTTTGGTGCGTAGTACAAAGCAGATTCATCTGCAAAACACTTCAAAAGTGCGACATTCTCGGCATTAGATTCGGTGTTTGCAAGCTCATGTAATATTATTAAAAACACCAACCAAGTCCTTCTATCGGGACCCTACGTTTCGAAGCCAATTCGGCCTCTTCGTCAGGGGCGACTACGGCTACGGCCGTTAGGGAGCACTGTCGTTTTCTTTTTCTTCTACAATGGGTGTCTGGTCTTTTTCTACGGCTGTACCTTTTCAATAAAGTGACAAAGCCCGTTCAGATATGCGGATGGTAAAGCTCCGAGAGACCGATTGATGTTCTGTGTTGTTATCTGAATATGCCAGGATTTGAGTAACAATCTCTTTCGGGATTCGTCTCAACGTCAATGATGCATGTGTTGTTGTGACGATAAAGTTAATACGATGGTCCTTGACGTCGCAGGGCTCAGCGACCGCGCCACGTGCATGATCAAACTTGCATACGTCGTTTTTGTGCCGACAGATTCTTTCTATAAAGTTCTATGTTTCGCCGATGTATGAGGCCGTGCAAACCCCGCAATAATTTCATATATAACGCCTTAGGCTCTGTCTTTAGCTCTGCGGTCTTTTGGGCGTGGCATGAGTCGTCCAAGGGTAGACACAGACTTTTCCGCCATTTGAATACCTTCTTTAGCCAGGACACGTCCGAGTGCCTCGCTTGTTTCGTTTATGATGGGAAACGCGGATGCGCGAGTTTGGGCGGGAATTTGCACTTGACTGTTGCTGCACATGTCATTACGATGGATGAAGCTGCTCGTGTAACCGTTTTTTTTTTTTTTTTTTTAAGGTACGCAATGACGGTTTGTTCCTCTTTTTTTCTGCCCCCTTCCAATGAGCAGATGATCTTTGCCCTGGTTAAGAGTGTACTGATTACCGACGCCTTCAGATTGGCTTTTCTTTTTACTTTTAAAACACGTAATATTGCTTCGCCATGTCGCGAACTGTTTAAACATTTGGGAAAAACGGAAAAGCGTTCCCTGTGGTTTCAAATAAAGCTTGAGATAACCGGCCACCATGATTTTAACCACTAAGAAAAGTAAGTGTCGTTACTCTGAATCGTAGCTTCTTTAGTAGCTCTACATTCCTACCTTTTCTTTAAGTTTCAAGGCAAAAGACCAGATGGGCTGACGAGGACTCGATGCCGCAGTAATACAAGAATAGTTACCGTTAACAACTAAACAAAATATCAAAAACGCTCTTACAACATAACAAGTCGCAGATGAACAATCCATACCAAACAGTCACTTCAGTTTCAATTTGATTTCCTCTTTATGGTTCTATTGCTATCAAGGTTTTTTTTTCAGTATGCACTTAAATTTGCTTATTGAAGTACTAGATGTGATAAGTTTTTGAATGTCACTACACGTATTTAAATAGTTCAGAATTTGATACGCCAGTGTATGTGTGTGTATGGTTGTCCTAATTTTAGGAAGTATGTATATATCATGCCGTGTCATAGTGATGGCCTGGTCGCATGGAAAATCAAAGATACGTTGGTTCCGAAAATCTCGAGTCCAGAAAAATATAGATTGCGAGTTTATATGGGGGCTGTGCAGTTGATAAACATTGAATATCTTATGGCGTTTGAAAAAGGGGGACGTATGTACATCATAGTCAGAATTTAGAATTATACGTACAGCCTTGTACCTACAACACTGTCTCGCGAGCCTCGAGCGTGGACACTCAGCCAAAGGACGACGCAATGCAACGAAAGCGTGCTGGAGGCCGGGTATTCGAAAGAGCTGCCTTGCCGTCCTCAACTTCTCAACGACTTCTACGAAAAAGTGACGGTGTGAGCAGTACGTAGTAATAATCGACGTAAGACACAATTCCAGTGGAAGTGGTGCGAAACCGACCTGGAGTTGATATCGGGAAATACTTACCAGACCGACACCATCCCTCGCTGTCTCTGAACTGGGTAGTTTCCCGATGACACTTGTAATAGCCCCTAGATGCCGTGGGCGAGCGGTAGCAGAGCTCGCCAGGCTCATTCGGTCCCAGTGATTTACCATTGGTCACGTTTACAACCTAAAGAAAGAATTGCCACTTTAAAAAAAAATATGTATTTGAAGCGAATGAGGTGCCAACAAAGAGGATATTCAGGTATCATTCGAATGTCTGCATGCTCCAAACGGACGTGCCGCGAGCCAAGCTTACGGCCTAATTCTTAAAATTCTGTACTGTTCTTTTCTTTTTTCTTTTCTGGGGGGGGGGGGGGGGGGGGGGGGAGGGGAGGGGGCGAAGGGAGGAATTTGCGGTATCCTACTTCGGGACGTGTCCACAGTGCCCAAGAATGATGCCACACAAAAACAAAATAGGGAGCATCCACATGCCATCAGGATTGTGATTTTATATCAAAGCATTAGATTCGTAGGTAAAGCGATTGGCTTGCGGAAGACTTGTATACGTTACTAAAAAAAGTAAGGAGTTACATTTACAATTATCTATGGCTAAATGTAACTAATTACAGTTACAATTACACTTCCATAAAAGTAAGTGACCCTTACTTCAAAAAGTAATCCGTTACATTCGCGGTTTTATTTTAACATTGCTGTCCTAGGGTAAAAAACGAGACACAACTGTTAGGAAAGCGCTCATTGTGGCGGCAACTCACACTTTGTGACGTTGAGCAACTCAAAAAGTTTCATCGGGCATCTTGCCTCGTTTCTATGTGAAGATGTCGCCCGCTGCACTAGACACATTTTCAATCCACGTTTTTCCAAATAGACGGTGCCATCTGGACGCGCGGCTTAGTGGCTAAAAACAACGCGTTCGCAAAGTCTTCCCTACCCACTGGAACCCCAACACGTCAGCTAGATCCTGTTGCAAAACAAACACCTTCGACTTATAAAACATTGTCAACAATGACATAACAACAAGGAAAAAGCAAGCGTTTGGTTGCTGATAGCTAGTCGGGTTGTTTTTAGGCTGCACTGATGATGTCTCCCGCACGGGAGATGAAATGTCCGCTCGTAAATTGTTGACATTGTTATATAAGTCAGAGGTATTTGCTTTGTAATCCTGAAGTTCGGCTTTCGGAACATTTTTGCATAGATATCCTGTTGACACACTGAGACGCTGTGTTCTAACTACGGCTTTACCAAACATATCGCTTTTCTCCCCAGTGTTGACACAGAGAAGTCATATACTCTTTCTCTCTTTCTGGGCCGGCAGGAAGCAAGAAGGAAGTGAAGAGACGAAAACAAAAGGGCGCGCACAGATCCGCTACACTAGCTCGCGTGCACTTTGACTTTTTTTTTTTTTTTGTCTTTTTGAAAGGCAGCTTTTTGAACTTGAGAGTTTAACTAATATTGCTTGCATGGTAAGTCCGGTTCTTTGAATAAGTGTGCTTCCCACTTCATTGCGGGCGAGATGCGGATGTAACACCACTTTGCAAACAACCGAAAAAAAAAAAGATTTGCGTCGAGGTTGACGTAAAAAAAGGCTTTGAGCATCTAAAGATTCCCAGGCCTTACGTTCTGTGAATGCAAGTGGAGATTGATGGTAACAACGTATACACAAACTTCCAATATTCCTTAACCATCTACCCCTGTCTAGGAAGTGTTGAAAGCCTAACCGCCGAATTCAGAAACCTCACTCAAACTACACTCAAACTGATGGGCCCCTCCACTTCCTCGAGGAAGGCGCGACGGCCGGCGCTGGCCAATCGCGACGGCGGATCCGTCCTCGCGATTGGCCAGCGCCGGCCCTCGCGCCTTCCTCGAGGAAGTGGAGGGGCCCTTCAGTTTGAGTGTAGTTTGAGTGAGGTTTCTGAATTCGGCGGTAAGCCACCCGGAAAAAGGGCGGGGGGAGGGGGGGGGGGGGAGGACGGGCTAAAAGGATGGCTGGTAACTTCAGAGTTTCGTTAGAAATGTCTGGTCATCAAACATATAGTACGAACAGTAAGACAGATAGCCTTGCAGAGAATAGAACTCTATGAGTTGTGAAACTTGGTTTGTATATGATGTTTGAAGAATTCATGCTAAGAAGTGTGTAAGTTTTGTGTCATGATAAATTTAAGGCTTCTTATATATAAACTATTTTGTCGTAATGTTCGTAAGAGAAAGACAACAAAATAACGTACATAAGTTATGTGTATTTAATAATATATAAAACAAAAGCATGCACGTTTAAACGAGCGCGCGCTATACAAGATTGTAAGTGTTTAAATATAGCCGCAACTCAAGCGAAAGAGAGTCCACACTAAAGCTATTTTACTTCGACATGAAAATTCGCAAATCAATACCAGTTTGTGTGCGGAGTTAAATATATCGTTACTTTTATTTGAGAAGGCGTATTTTTATCCATATTTTTACAAAAGAATGCCTCATATCTGGTCGCACCTTCGCGTTAACTTAAAGCATCCTAACGTACGACCTGTGGCGTGTTCGAATCCCGACCGAGGTGCCCGCGATCTGACGGAGGCTTATTGCGGAGGAGGCGCCGTTTAACCGAGCTTTCGGTTGCACGTCAAAAGATCCGCAGGTGGTCGAAATTAATCCTCAGTCCTCCGCTGGGGCGTGCCAGATGCCCGTCGTTGGTCTGGCACGTAAACCCCCAAATTTGACTAACGTACGACGGGGGCGATGTTTAATAGTGCTTCAGGTGGAGCTTGGGATTTAGTGGCACTGACACGAAAAAAGACTACGCCGTCGTCACCGAAGCGCGTGCGTGCGGCCCACGACACGTTGGTCTTCTAACGCGTAAGCGTTGAGGCGCCCGCGTCGCAGAAAGGCCGGCGTCCGTGGCGCTGTGGCGGAAAACTACTGATTGGTCGATAGGGTAATAACGTCACAGCCACATAATCTCGTGAGAGAATTTCAAACAACCCACAACGCTCACGTGAGACATGATGTAGCACGTCAAATGAAAGTTATTAAAGAACATGCGAATTAAAGGTCGCCGCACGTTTCAAATAATTCCGCGTTATAAAGTACTTCATTTCCCTTGAAGAGAATGGGAAGAATTGTACGCGGTATTCGAACCCACCACCCTTCGCTTGCCAGCCGGACACGCTACTGACAAGGCCATGTCCGCCGCACTTCCTGCTCATTGGCAGGAAGAGCATGAGTAGCCAACGAGGAGGCGATGCGAACGGACCCCGTTAACGCTATTGCGTTCCACACTTTTAGGTAACTATATTTTTCTTTTTTTGTGAGGAAAATTGAAGGCTTACTGACACACGCGTTGCAGTAAAAAAAAAAAGAGAAAAACGTTTCTATTTCTTCTTTTTTTTTTTGTGCTGAGGGAGTCGTAAAAAATACCGCTAGCGTTTGAAAAAGCCTATATAGGGCAGACAGGAGGATGTTTAGACTACGAGAGCACAAAAACATCTGCAAGCTGTCGCAAGTCCCGAGAAATCTGGCAGCGCAATGTGCAAGATACAGTTGTGCGGCGCAATCCCCCCCAAAAAAAAACAAAAAAACAATCATATTGACTAGCTGAAAGCACAGGCGAAGTGGTGAATGCGTTTTTCAGGACGTCAGGAACGCACGGGCCTTGCGCACGTACCTCAGTGACAACGGCGTAAGTTTGAGCGTTTTTGATGGCGGAAATCGCTAAACAGCAGTTAGATATTTATATGGTTTTTTTTCAGTTCTCTCTCTCTCTCTTTTGTCTTCTTTCTTTTTTTTTTCGCTTTTTGTTCCACTCTCCTGTGGAAAAAAAAGACCAGTTATTGATTCGCGCCGATGTTTCTATGTCGCGTTGTCTGTCTCGTCTTAGTGCTGATTACTCGTAACCCTTCGCAGCGCCGTGTAGTCAAAGTTTTTTTATCTTCATTTCAATTGAACTTCATCCCAATCAACGTGGTAAAATTGTGTATTTAATATGTAGATGTCGCAAAATGCAACCTTGAACCATCTCCAGTCTCAAGGAACTGTGCACCTGGCACAGCCGTTAGCTCCGCTTAGTTGAGCACATACTGAAAAACAAATTCCATCGCTCGTTTTAAAACTTAGGTATAATAATAGGTTATAATAGGAGTTTATTTTCCAACAAAGTACAGGTTGGAGGGCGGCTTGGAAAAAAAGCTGTTAGCACAGCTTGACTGGTCCCAAGCCCCCACCACATCAGCAGCGGCAGAACAGCGAAAAAAAAAAAGATGGGAAAAAAAAATCAACATTATTTTTACACGGAAGAATCATTTGCACGTATATTAGGAACAAAGTCGAGCTCTATAAGAGGACACTGCCGCAGTGTTTTCGAACGCAAACACATGAAATACACCAACAAGAAAAATATACATTGCACAAAACCACTCTCCTATAAGAAATACAACAAAAACATTCAAAAACAACAAAACCTTCAAAAGCATCTTTCAGTCATGGTCGTTCCGGCTAGAGAGCATCATTTCCCGCAGACCGCCCACTGATAGGTTATCAAGTTCTATGTGATTTGTAGAAAGCTGATTCAGAATTGTTGGAAGTGTGTGAGCTATGGTTTGACGACCGTAATCTGTTCGAGAGAAAGGCACTTGCCAGGGTAACATTATACGTGTTTGATAACTGTATTCTCTTCTTTTTAGATTTGATAACTCTTCAAGATGTCGTATGTGCTTATTTTGTTCAATTTTATATCTTAAGCAATTTTTTTATTACACCAAGTTCATTGAAAAGCAAATCTGCCGGGTATTCCAGTGAAACATTGCAAATACTTCTTAATATCTATATTTTTTTTTGCAGTACGAATACCTTTTGAAAATTGGTAAGTGTGGTTGTACCCCATATTAAATGACCATAGTTTATGTGGGAATAAAATAAAGGATTATATAGTAACAGTTTTATTCTACGTGGCAAGATATGCTTATTGCGGTATATTAAGCCAGCAACGCTGGATAATTTGGATATAATGAAATTAATATGATCATCCCATGACATAGTCTCCGAGAAAGATATACCTAGGGTTTTAAATGCTGAAACTAATTCTATTTTAGTGGAGTTCCAAAAAATTGCATTGGTTATATCTACTTGTTTATTTCTTGGGCGGAATAAAATTGCCTTAGTTTTATTTACGTTCACTTTCATAGC